GATCTGAAACATACTAAAAACAATCACAACCTAGCGTAAAAACCGAAATTCATAGAGTAAAAGTGCCTCAAACATCTAAGGAAAATGGGGGTAAAAAGTGTACAAGTAAACCTGAATCAAGTTGATTTATTGACAGTATATGAATCCCTAGGTTGAAGAGCACTACTCATTCAGTGCTACGCCATTCCGGGTGAATTCCTTAGGGTTAATCGACCAAATTCATCTCCCATAATTTGTAATTAGCTAGGGTAATGGCTAGGTTAGTGTAGTTAGCTTAGTTTCTTAATCACTATTTGATTTGGGCTCAATTACACATATTTTATCTCTCATTTGTTTATCGTTTGACTTGGTAAATCATTGTCCCTCGACCTAATTTATGCTAGGATGTGTTTGTTTTGCTACATTTAAGGTCCTAACACATGGGGAAGGTTGAGGATGAGTTTGGGGACGATTGGAAGTTGCAAAGTGCCAAAAAGTGAAGACAATCAAATGGCACGGTCTCCAGGCCATGACAAATAAGCCGAGACCGTGACATTGAAAATTTCCAGAAAGGTTTCTAAGTCTCGCGGACCTAATGGTTGTTGATAAACCAGGCTATGAGTCTTGCTCAAGTTGCCAAACCATTATATAGACATGTATCCATCCAATAAATGAAGGAATCGTGATGTTCAAAGAGAGAATCATGACGTTGAATGAGAGAATTAAATGTTCAATAAGAGAAACATGACTTTTAATCTGAGAAGTTAAACATCGAATTACCTATTGGGGGTCAAGCACACCCTTCTCAATAGATTGATGAAGTGAAGTGATGGAAACTGCTTCATGCAGACTTGTCATCGGTGCCGGGAGAGCCCTCATCATGCCATTGTTTCCACCAACAACATCCATTCGACCAACTTTGGTCACTTGATGCTCTTCCATAAAGACTTGTAGAAGACAATCATCTTGTTGTTTATGTCGTGGAGCCATCAAACCAAACACAAGGTCCCACTGGGTGTGCCAATTTGTTTTCTAGCGAGAAAACTTGCGTTGAATTGAGATAATTGCACCTTGACTTCTTTAGATAACGATTACTAAGACACGACTCACACCTCTTCAAACAAAGTTCGAACGAGGGCGTTTGATTGATGGTGAAAGGAAACTACAAATTCTAAGTTGATTTACTCCTACTCCTATGGAGGTTCAACGAGAGCTCCAACTACGACTAAGGCTACATTGTAGACTAAATGATAAAGTTTGACATTGGGTGTCAAATGGTTGGTTGCGGAACCCTTGTCTCTGTCGAACTCCTCTCCTATTTATAGGCATGTGTTGGTAACTGCCTTGGAGAACCGTCTTCTTGATAACTGCTAAAAAGAACCGCTCCCTCATCTCCGGAGTGGTGGTTTCTCCTTCAACCTCCTAGGTGCCTCTCTTGGAACTGTCATCTTGGTGCTTGACATGGTCTACATCTCGATCTCACGACCACCAAGGTCCAGCTCACTCGAGACAAGAGATGTCTAGATTTCACATCCAACGGGAGACTTAACTCCCTTATGACCAACGTGCTCGAGCTCTCGGACTTATTATATTCTGTGGCTTCCTTCTCCCCACGTAGCTTTCCTTCTCACGTCCAAGTCATTGGTTTAGATCTCGGAGGTGCTCATCTTGATCTCACGACAAAGGTCATCTTGATCTTGCAACCACCGTGGTCTACCAGACTCGTGACATAGACCGTCTAGCAGACTCGCAACGAACATGGTCAAGCAGACTCGCGACAAACGCGATCCACCAAACTCCACGTGACAATGCCTCATCGTGATATGATTTCGAGGCTAAGGTCTTCTAGATCTTGCGACCAACATGATCTACCATGGTCGCGACGAAGTCCGTCTAGCAGACTCGCGGCGAACGCGCTCTAGCTGACTCACGGCGAGCACAGTCTACTAGACTCGCGACGAACGTGGTCTCACAGACTTAGCCTCCTCGCGAAGAAAATGGTGCCCTCTCAGAGACTTGCCTGTTTGAGTTTAAAAATCTAGTACCATAATGCCCAATTTAAATAACATTAATCAATATAGTTGATCTGACCTTATAAAGACAATAAATACCTTTTTATATAAAATATAAAATCGTGCAAACTTAAGACATACAAATTTTGTAACCCAGCGGTAGATGAGCTATTTTATCACCCAAAGGTCTTGGGTTCAATGCCAAAGGAAAGCAGTTTACATAGGTTAATTACTTTTAATGGTAGTTTACATAAACTACAACTTCTCATTTCCCCTAGGTTAATTACTTTTATGTAGTTTACATAAACTACAACTTCTCCTTTTTTTTTATAGTAAGTGGGTATTAGATACTTTAGTCATTAACTTTGTAATATTTATTTCCCTTTTTAAGTTGTAGTTTACATCAATTAATTATCGTTTTTGCTTCTTGAAATACATTATTTTTCTTTTTCTAATTTATAGTAAATATAATGTGAAAAATATTTTATATGGTTATAATAAAACAAAATTAGTATAAAAAATAGATTTTTAAACCTAAATATTTTAATTATTAGTATTTTTTTAGTCTTTTGCGGTAATGTATTATGAAATCCCCCCCCCCCCCCTCCCGAGCGCTAATGCTAGCTCCACCCCTGTCTTGTGAATAATCAATGGTGATATAAGATTATTTTTTAGGTGTAAACACACAGCAATTCAATAATAGCAATCAATATTAAAGGACGCCCGAAGAATTTGATTGGGTTATAGGTATAATATGCCCCTCTACTATGATGTTTTATCAAACATGCCCTTCTACTATTTTTTATATCAAACATGTCTCTGTACTTTGTAAAAATGATCAAACATGCTCTTTTGTTTAAATTTTCATCCATAAACCGTTAACCAAGGTCGAACTTTGGTTTGGGCGGCACTTATGTCTAAAATATTCCTAATAATTCCACTTTAGAATTTTTTTAGTTCTTTTGTATAGCCAAATAATTCGAATAATTTCACTTTGAATAGACCCAGAGAAATCAAACGGGAGACAAAACTGACATTTTCGCTCCCATTTGCCGATGTCGGTTCGTTGAAATCTCGGTTCGTTGAAATCTCGGTTCAACCATGATTGACGATTTTTTCAATGGAAATTTTAACAGAAGGGCATATTTGATAATTTTTTCAAAGTACAGGGACATGTTTGATGTAAAAAGTAATAGAGGTGCATGTTTGATAAAACGTCATAATAGAGGGCATATTATACCTATAACCCAATTTGATTAAATACTAAATTGCTCTTCCAGCCACGAACTAACATCACACTTTATGTCTTTCAAAATTAGAATAGCATCACATGTTATCTCTCGCACATCACATGTTATGTTCATCTTCCATTATATGTTCCTTTCTATATATATGTTTCTTCTTCGTTAGTATATTTGGGGTGTCACATTCACAACGTAAGTTTAATTTATTTTTCCTAATGTTTTTACCTAAAATGGTAAGAAGAGGGGTTTTCAGTTTAAAACTTTAAATTTTAAGAATCTGGGTGCAAAAGCACAATCTAATGTATTAAAATGATTTGGCACCTAACCATGCGCATAATAGTCCGTCTTATTAAAAAATGGTATGTACGTCGTAGTAGTATTAGGAGATCAATACTATTAAACTGAAAATGTAAGGATTGATGGTCTTACTAAAAAGATTTATTATAATCAATACGTAAAACTAAAATGTAGTAAACATTTATAAAATTTAATGGTCTTACGAGGGTGGAAATTGGGGTGGATGTGGTTACCCACCCCACATTTTGCGAGTAACCACACTCACAAATATAGAATTGTGCTACACACAACCCGCCCCGCGGTGGGTAGTGGTTAACCACTATTCGCTTCGGTTTGGTGCGGATTGGTTGTGGATACCCACAAAAATTTCATCATTAAATAAAATAATATGGTAATTAAATAGTGAAGTTGTGTTTCTTCTCACTTAAAAACAAAAACATACATAAAAGAAAGTTAATAAAGTGTTAAATAAATTATGAATCTCAAATACAAGATGTTAGTTAGTGTAAATTCAGAAGAGATGGATTTGGAAAGAGATTTGAAGATAACGAAGAGGCGGAGTGACCTGTTATCAGACAAATATAATTGCATGTCCTGACTCCTCCGATGGCAACAACAACAAAACACAAAAGTGGCTCGATAAGTGGAGGCACCCGCTTTTAATGAATCGATTATTCTCCAGTCCACTCTCGATTATAGTCTTGTATTGTTTGTAGCTAGTTGCATGTTGTGTTGTTCATGAGTTCGTGGAGAAATGGAGACAAGTTTGGGTATCGAACTAACCTTTATAGATTATTTCCCTCATCTAACGAATCGGTTAATTTATCTGACTATATCTATAGGCGTGGTATTGGATTAACATGATTATTTGGGTTATTCGTATGAGTTCTTGTCCCCAAGAAAACTCTTTTTTTTTGGTAAAACTATAGACTTGGTTTTGTTATAAAATAAACATATACCACACGGACAATGCTTATTTGATAAAAGTATCTCACACGAACATTTGTATTGACTTGGTTTTGTTTTACAGAATAAGTACGTATTTGATTTTAGTAGCTACCTTAATCCTTAGTCTTCCAAGTTTCACAAACTAATATAACTAATGTGGTTAATGTAGGTTTTGTGGGTAAACTGCTGTGGGTAGTGGTTAACCACTAACCACAAGATTCAATATTTTGCTACCCACACCCAACCCACTATCAGCAAATTGTGGGTATGGGTATCCACAAAGTGTGCGGTTTGCGAGTTACCCGCAACCCGCAAACCAAACTTCCACCCCTAATCTTACGTACACATTACACAACACAAAGACGTAAAGGTGACATCTTTACATATTACGAGACTGAAAATCGTGATATTGGGTTTGTTATATAACCGTGTAGAACTATCTGTAGGTAATATTAGTTAGTAATAACAACAAGGAAATGGTAAATTGAGTAAGATTAGAGAATCCGTTCACACAACAAAATGCCATAATTTGTCTTCATTCATCATTTAATTCTTTCATTGTCGCTAAAAGACAGTCAAACGACTTTGGCATCCACAGTAATCGCGGGCGTCCTCATCCATCCAACTCATATCGTAACGTAACCCCAGAGCATTTATTTATTATGAATTAATTAGATGAATCAACTTAATTAAGCCTCCTCATCGTAATTACGTACATGAATTTCTCCACCCCCCGCTAATCTCCCCCGCCGGTGAAGGACTTGCCAATGTAAGCAATAACCTGGCACAAAACCAGCAAGACCTGGTTCCGGTTCCCCAGGGGCCGCCACGTGGACTTGGAGAAGACAGCCTGGCAGTCGGTGGCGTTCCGCGCCGCCTCCCCGGACAGGCTGGCGAGGCCGAAGTAGGTCTCGGAGTTCAAGTCGTTGTAGGCGATCTCGAGGCGGGAGATGGCGGCGTCGTAGTCGGATCCGCACCGGTCCAGCCGCATCCGGTCGACCCGGCTCGTGTGGTCCTTGGCGAGGCCCGAGATGTAGGACCGGGTCCCCGTGGCGTTGGTGTAGGCCAGGCCCACGGAGATGAACGCCATCACGTAGCGGTCGGCTTCTGGGGTCCGGTCGTCGGCGTACAGCGCCTCCACGCACAAGGGGTAGTCGGCGGTTGTCTTGCAGATGCGCTGGACCAGCGGCGTCGGCGGTGGGGGCTTTGCGGCGGCGGATGTGATGAGGAGGAGGAGGAGTACTGTTGTGAGGAGGAGGGGATGGTTGGGTGACATGATGGGATTGGGATCTGGGAATTAAGAGGAATGAATGGCTGAGATGGTAAGGATTGGTGGGCTTGTGGTGAAGTGGAAAATAAAATGAAAAGACGACTGGGGCGGACTAATTTAATGGTTTGATTGAGTAGGGAAAGAGAAGGGGCTGGGCAACGTTTTATAAACTGACCATGTTTGGCCGCTTAATTATATTGACCAAGTGATCTATCAGTTAATGGTTTGTTCAATTCCTATGTGACATGTGAGCAATACAGTCAACAACGTGATTCTATCTCGAAGCGGTTGGGTGACCTAAAAACGTAAAATCGTAACCTTTTAAGTTTTAAAGCGTAGATTGTAACTACATTTGTAAGTAAAATCACGATTCCACATAGAAGCGTTTTGGTGACCTAAAAAGGTAAAAGCGTAAACTTTTAAGTTTTAAAGCGCAATTTTGACTGCATTGCATGTGAGTAGGGGCTGGGGGACTAACTATGCTTGAAACAAATATTAATGGTCATTTATATTAGTAAAAGGCTCTTCACGCACAGTTAGATGTTTATATAATTTGTACATATAAGTTACACTATTGATGTGTGCTTTATTTGGTATTTGGTTTTGAACTATGTAGGAAAATACACAAATGACTTGGAGTATGCTTAGAACGTATTGAAAACATGAGAAAGTTAAAATGACTAACAAAAATATGCAACTAATAGTGACATATATGTATACAAATAAAGTGTTGCTTACATAAAGAGTGGCTAAATTACACGTTTGATCACTCAAATTACATAATCTTTCGTGTTTGCTACCCGAATTACTTTTTTTCTTCTTATAGGTCACTAACTTTATGAATTATTTCACCGTTACTCACCGTATTACACAAATTTTCATGTTTGGACCGTCACGTTGAGCAACACCTTTGATATGCCCCTGGGGGTGTATATTATCAAAGTCACGCAGCTAACGACTCAATCGAAGAATCGATTGAGCTCGAATCAAGAACAAAGCGTTCTTAATACGAACTTGGATAAAACAAAACCAAAAGGACGATTCCACGCCTGGGAATAGCTCGATTGGTATAGAATGGTAGTTGCTTGACCACAATTGAAGTGGCTATTCAATCGATACACAAGCTCAGCAATTTTGGAATCCACCAAACCCAAAACAAGTTCGCAAACTTGAAAAAACAAAACGGTTTCTTTTCGATTAATTAACTCTTCTTTACAACGTGAATTGGAAAGGTATTTAAAGACAATAAACCCTAATACAACCCTGCATGAACAAGGAAACTAATTAGAACAGGAAAAGGCTAAAGAATTCGTGTAAAACAAGGTAACTTGCAAGCCAAGAAACTGACTTAAAACACAAGCAAGTCTGCCTAGAAAAACAGTCTTTATAGCATCTTTGAGCCCTTCGAAAATGGTCTTCTAGGTTGATTCGAACTCAACCAATTCCTTTCCTCTGTAGAAGAAAACTTCCTATTTCACCTCCAACTTGAATCAGCCTGAGATCATGCTCTAAACTCCAGATATAGGCCTTTAAAGTCGGTATCTCAAAACAGTTTTCTGCCTTAAACCATTTTCTGGCAGTTTTCCTGTTTTGATGTAGCCTTTTGATGGGCTTCAAAAGTGACCTTCTAGAGATCCCCTTTAGCTCCAAAATATACCATTGCAAAGATAAAAACTTTATCTTCAAAACAAGCCCTTGACCATCCATTTTCATTGAGCCATTTGTGAGATAAAAGCTTCCAAAGTAGGCTACCTGAAACTGTTTCAACACTTGGCCAAAAATCAGAATTCTTCAAGTGAGTTGAGATGACTTCTTTGGCAAGTAATTTTGAATTGTAGATTGATCCAATTGGGATCATATCAACCTTCGTCAGTTTGAGCGGTCGGATCTCCACACTCGATGACATCATGTTTCGTCTAGTGAGCAAGTTCGGCAAGGTCTTTGGCCTCTACATCCTCACCTCAACCAGCGGGCAGCACCATCTGCTAAGTTATTTTCCCGTCGCGAAACGACATCGCGCGGTCCGTCAGCCAGATATTGCGATTGTTAGTCTTCTCCGTTGTCTTGGGTCATATGTGGTTGCTCTTCCTCGTTGGCGACATATAGAATAGATACTCACAACAATCACAACACAATATGCAGAGACAAATCTATCTAGGGAACTGGAATTGTAATTGCTCGGTCGTTGTCGAAGAAGACGGACTATCTCACCTCAAACGGTGGTACCGAAGAAGCGGAAGCGAGGGAAAGCGAGAGCCGCGGAGGAGATTCGGTTCTCAAATCCCCGTCGACTGTCATCTCGTCGGCGCGACCCAATGTTGAATAAAAAACGGATCTGTCTTGCATAAACCGCGAAATTGGTATCAATTTAAATATGGAATTTAGTCCTTGCTTATTAGGTGCCGGGGGGGACAGAGAAACGAGGTGGTGAGTGTCGGTAGTGTGTTAGATGGGGATGATAAAGCTCTTGGCTTTTAGGGGCGGTTGACGACAGCTCTGAAGTAGGGAGGAGTTTGCTGGCAGTGGTTAACTAATTGTTTTTTTATTTTTTTAAATGGACAAGTCAGTAAGTTAACGATCCAGTTAGCAGTTATGTTTGCCACGTCATCAAAAAACTGACCGAATTAAAGGAGTCTGACGGAGACTGACAGTCGGTGACTAACGGTGAAACAATTCGTAAAGAGTGTGACCAATAAGAAAAAAAGTAATTCGAGTGGCAAATATGAAAGATTTATGTAATTTGAGTGACCAAATGTATAAATTAGTCTGTAAAGAGTACACAAGTGACAACATGAGATTTGCTTCCTATTATACATACATAATCAATCTTCACCATAAACGCAAATGATTGTACTTTAATGGAGTTCAATGTATCTATGAATTTTTTTTCAATTGTTATCTTCTTTGTTCATCATGACATGAATTATATATGGACATATGACGTAGGAACATTGACATATATTTTTGAATAAGTTACCATTTTCAATGGAAATTAGTGAAATGAATTTAGCTCTTTATTCAAACAATGTCCAAGTCATTGTCATAGGATTGTTATTTAATGTTTTCATTCATTGCTATAATACTAGTTTAGCAGTAATATTTGAGATGGTAGTAGATAAATAACTAATTTTATTATGTTTAACTACATATATTGAACAACAACATTGACTTAATGTTTCGGTATAAAGTGAAATTATGGGCAACTTTGTTTTTTAAAACTATTAAGTTATGACAAAACTCTAAGCACAGGAACGACTGGAGCTATTGAAGTTGGCGTGGAAGAATTCAGGGTTGGAGCAGTGTCGTCAACACTTGAGGATGGCGGCGACACAAATATCAAAAGCAAAGAGAACCGACCGATGATAAATTCTAGACGAAAATATTGCAGCAGAATTGGAGAATCACTCCAAAGTTGTGCCCGGTTGCATTTGCAATGTAGGCAACTTGTCGAAAAATCTGGTTGTTGAGACCTTCAAAGAGCTTCAATAAATGACTATATGAAACATTGGTACAAAAAATAATTTGTCAACTCTAACTCTCGCCACAAAATTAAACCAACTCAAATTTCACCTAATATAGCTATTAAATCCATTCCTACCTCTCTCACTTACATTTATATGTAGAACTCTATCCCATTTAACTATTCAATAGTCACATGTACTGGAGTTATTCTTTACGTTCATTTCTATGAACTCGTGTGACAACTATGAACGATATAGTCACCACCATATTTACTTGGTATCACAACTAAGCTTCACTTTCATTTCTGTTTCTGTTTCCATTTCATATTTCTTGTTTCCATTCAATAAATTTGGCAATGGAAACGAAAAAATTTTGTTTACTTTTCATTTTGCTTTATGTTCGTTCACAAGTCTGGAAATGGAAAGTGGTAGCTTTCTGTTGTTTCCACCAATTTACAACGCTATTTTTTCATATTTTCAACGAAAAACTTTCTTCTTCTTATCGATAAGCTAAATTATTTGAATGACATTACTCACAATTATTTTTTAATCCTTTTATTTTAGTTCTTCAATGTTTCTCATTTACCAAACTTTTCTTTATTAGATATGATTTTCATCTTATAGACTATTCAAAACCAAATAAATCAATAAATCACTTCAATTCAAAATGAACTACGATACAAAATTCATTCGAAAAAGAATTCATAGATGTGGAATGTTATATTCAAATCTGTACAGATCAATTGAATTGAACTAAAAATCATGTTGAAAACCTTCCGAAATGTACACTTAATTTAATAACTAAATTACAAAAAACATGCTATGTATTCAAATCAATCATTGAAAGCGTGCACCAACTACATGACATTGAGTTAAAAAAATAATAATGTTACCATTACTCAATTTATTCAAAATTTACCATTGATAACTAATTCATTTTTATTTCAAACAAAAAGATTTCATTTCATTTCAAAAATATAAAAATATTATAATTTATAGTAATCTATATGTTAGATTTGATTACGAAAAGTCAATATAAAATTTATATCTATGTGGTTTCTTCTCTAATAAAATAAAATTTCCTTCTCCTTTTCATATTTAATAATTTTACTTTATCATTTTTAATAGTTAGATCATTAAACTCTTTCTTACTTGATTTCAAACAATCTACCATCATTAAGGTTTCAGTTAAAGAATTCAGCAAAAGTTTCTAGCTAAATAGGTTTTCATGTTCAGGTTTTCAAGTTTTGTTTCTCAGGAACGGTAGCTTCGTTTCCATCAGGTTCTGTTTGATGTTGCTACAATAATAGGAAACATAGATGAAAATAAACAATCCCTAATTGAATGTGTCCATCTAGGACAATGTCTCCTACCAAACACTTAACCAACCTAGCTATACCCAAGTTTTGATGGAAAGTTTAACTCGTGAGCTAGCTCGTTTTGATCTATGAGCAGGCTCGACATTATGGCCGAGCCACCTCAAATAGCAAATTATGATCTAATTATTTAATAGCTTATGATGACACTTTATTTATAGTGTTTGTCACTCTCATTCTTGATACATTTTCCCCTTCTATCAACACATCTTTAGTCCTTTCTCTAGTATTTCTATCCAAATCGCAACTATTTCATCAATGAGCCTTTAAAGGACCTAGGTTATGTTTTTGTACTCTTTGATACCTTCTTGGTATATTTTTGATGGTTTTAAAGGTACAAAACAGCTTAAGGAAGTTTAGATCAAGCATTGAAGAACTCTGGAGGACCAAAGGAGCTATAAAGAGAAGAACATGGAGCTTTTATGATAAGGATGAGGTCCAATGACGTAGAACTCTACTAGAAGTACTATATGGCTCGCCATGGATACACTGCAAATTAATCCTGACTAGAGCTCAAGTATAAACTCTAGTCGAGTGTAGTATAAGGAAAGTATGTTTTAATTGTAAAACCAGAGCCGTTCCATGTACCTCTACTTCAATTACTTAGGTTGTTATCTAGCAAAACGGTTTTTGGTTATTTAAAGCTAAAGAAACTACAAATGAAAACAAGCAAGGAAAGCAAAATGAGGAGAATTCTATATGAGAGGACCTCACCCGAATATTGCTCCCCCTAGTCTCGTGCTAAGAATTAATGAACGAAACCCTAGTCTGAAGGATGTGTTTATACTGCGAGGTGAGTGCAGCAAGCTAGGAACAAACCCTCCTAGTCGATCAATCAAGGATTGCTACAATAAGCTAACGAACCTAGCTCTCTTAATCGAACAACCCAAGGAAACCCTAACTCTCTTAGTTGACCAATTAAGGATTGTTGAATTAAGTTAGTAGACTAACTCTCTTAACCTTTTGACTAAGGATGACAACAATAGGCTAGACAATCTAGGCCTCTTAACTAATCAACTATTGCAAAACCCGACCCTCGGAGGTTAATCCGGACGGCGGAGAGCGACCAGTCATGATGGGATCATGGTAATACTCCGATACTTGAGGTTTTGGCCCTAGATCGACCCAAAAGGGGTTACCCAAGTGGCTAGGAGATCAAGCTCCCTATGGGCCAAAGGGGGATTTCCACCTTCTAGGTTAATTTGACCAATAATGAGATAATGCAAGCAACACTCAATCATTCATGATTAATACCTCAAATATTATATAAAACACACAATCAACACAATATAGTCATGTTCTTACATCCTAACACACATCTAGACTAGGATTCACAATACCGAAGTGAGTAGGTAGGCTTTTCCATAGCTAGGCAAGGGAAAACAACAAAAAGGAGAGAAAGAACCATGAAGAGATGACTATCTTCCTTTCTTGTTGCTTGAATCTCCCTTGAGAAGAAGAAACCTTCAATCCTCTAGCTTAGGGCAAGCCCAAATCTCCTTCTTCCTCCTTTGAATGGTACTTTCTCTCTCTAGAATAGGAAGAGGAAATTATAATCTCTCACTAGAAACCCTCCTTTATTCTGAAAACTAAAACTCTCCAAAAAGCCATCTTTCTCTCTCCCAGCAAGCTTCTATTTATACAACCCGACGGTCGCTTTTCACGGTCACTGTTCACGGCCATGATGTTTAACCACAAACAGTGACATCAAACCAAAATGCAGGTCACTGACGCCGTTTTGGTCCAACATCACGGCTTGACGATGATTTTCATGGTCAGTCGACCGTGAAACACTCGTGGTCCACTGAGGTGCGCCAAGCGTTTTGGAACTTGTCAATGTCACGGTCAAGCCTCATTTGACTATTCTTCACTTTACTTCAATTTTTGACCTTTGACTATTCTTCACTTTACTTCAATTTTTGGCGCTTTATCAACTCCAATCATCCCGAAACTCGTACTCAACCTTCCCACACATGCTAGGACCTAAAATGTATAAAAAAATAGCACAACCTAGTGTAAAATAAGTCGAGAGACGACGAAATGCCAAGTCAAACTATCAAAAAATGAGTGGTAGAATGTGTAAAATTAGACCCAAATCACTATATGAGCCTAATAGAGGAAGACTTGATCAAGCTGAAGAAGAAACCAGCGACATCCCAACATCGGGTCCAACCGCAGCTGGAAGAAACATAGACAAGACTCATCCAAAATTCCAAATCACGAGGAGATATAGTCCATGGGCTAAGGAGTTCAGCCCATGAAGAAAATAAGCGGCGGCCCCAACCGCCGATATATCGCCTCTCAAACCCTAATCCTCCAAGAAGATTCCTCAGCAAGCTACTTCGTCCACAAGTTGAATGAAAGTGACTTCAAGTCGGATGAGAAAGGATTTGACAGACTTTAAAAGGAAAAAGACTAGAAAACCCCTCATTCCTGTACTATAAATACATCCTCGATTTCAGTTAGAAAGAAAACGTTTTACCCTAAAACCAATTGAAGCTCTGTAAGATTAAGGAGAGAACGACTCCATCGATGCTTCTCCCTCAATCTCACATGGCTAGCTAAATTCGTTGTTGTTTGGGGTGTTGATTCTATTATGTGTATTCTATTGCTTTCCATGAATTAATGAGATGCTCTAGAGCATCGATGATCCTTCTTAGAGCATCGACAGTCTAATTCTTTATATGCTTGTTATCTTTTATGATGCATTACTGTGTGTGTTGATTATACTACTCCCTCGGGAGCCTAGGAAACTACTCTTGTGTAGTAGGCATCATTGTTAGGCGTGTATGGACGGGAAGTACAACCCTCTGGTAGTCGAATGATGATGATGGTTGATGTTTTAAGATCCCCAATACCCTCTATCCTTACTTCCTTACACTCCATTAATTAGTTGATAGCATAAAGCGAAAGCATGCATTAACTAGTTAAATCTCTATCGCAAGAGGCACATTCATGGATAAGGAATGGTCGTAGTGGAAGGATAGGATGCTATCTTAGCATCGATGCATATAGCCATCTTATCAAAGAGAAAGCATTTTACTCATCTAGATGATACTTCCTAAACAACTGTTTCTTACTTGCTTTACTTTCACCTTTTGTATCACTTACTTTTGCTCTCTTTTAGTGTGCTATTTGAATTCATTAGGGAACCTCAACCCATTGTTTTTACTTTATGTTATTTCTTCTAACCACTTGGGCATTTAGTTTTGAGTAGCTACCATCAAAAAGTCTTTTGGAATATTAACTTAGACATCTCTAGGGTTATCAGTTGTTTTCTACATCACTTTATCATTGGCTTGCTTATGTTTCATAGGTTTGTTAGATTTTATATCTCACCAGTCACCACATATGATGTTTAAGAATTTGAGCATATATGCCTCATTTATAATTTAAAGAGAAATTATGCATCATAGATTACTCATACACTACTATTAGATAACATGATATGAATACTTATAAATTATTAACTAAATTAAATGATACCTCAATTTGAGCCGATCTCGCAAGCTAATTGATGAACCGACTTCGAGTAAAGTTTGTGAGCTCATTAACGAGCCAAACTCAAGTCAAACACAAACAATAATTTTTTAAACAAACCGAACACGAGTTCGTGCTTGTTTATAAACAAGTTGACACCAATTTAAATCAAAACTCGGCTTACCACGGATTTAAATACGTGGGCCTTCTGAATCTTTTACCAGCACAGCATAAATTGCATCGGAGAAAATAAAGATGGGCCGGGCTAAGCTGGGCCCGCAATTATAACTTTACGGTCCAGCACCGCTCACACTACCTAACATCCGCAGAAGTCATTAATTGACTGACTCGCGCTTTTGCTTGCTCCTGCCTGGGGAAGAAGAAGAAGACGAGGACGAAGAAAATGGCAATGACGAGAGAAATGTGAGGCTCTCCATGGAAATTTCAAGCGCGGCATAGCTCTCTCTATCTCTCCGTTCAGTTGCATAGGCCACTTTCGATGGTCCATACCTTAGGTCACTGCTGAAATTTTCCAAGTTTAGAATCTTTTCATCCTCTGCATACTGCTGAAATTCGAAGTTCCCTTCAATGAAAGAGAACTAGAGAAGGGCTAAGCTTTTGCTTTTCCTTGCTATTGTGCCGAAGCGTTCGACTTGCCAATTTTCTTGCTAGCTGTAAGTCAGGTACTAGCTTGTGGTTTCGGGTGCATGGCGGCTAGTGTTTGAAGTGCTGCTGATGGAGATGGGTCTTTGGGGTCTGCATTTCTCGGCTATTTTCGCTCTCTGTGCTGTTTTCGAAGCTGCGGCATCCCAAGGGGTGAGAGATTTGCCGCATGGCTGCTTCTTTCTATTGTTCTTCGCTTCAATCTGCAATCTGTTTGTTGTCTTTGGCATATCTTGATATGGGAATGTTTGATTGTGGAGGTCCAGATACATAACCAGACAGTTGGAGGTCAACCATTGGATTCATCGAATGGAGGCACTAAAGTAGGCAGAGGTATGCGCCAAGCCTTTTTGATAATTCTATAGCAGCTCCTCTATCCTAGAAGCAAAACGTACTTCGATTATTCTAACTCCTCTAATCTAGGGTTTAAGGCAGGGAACACCAATGTTCGCTTCCTCCGAGTATTCCTTCATGGGTTCTCCATTACATATGTAGCAATTATTAAAGATTGTGTTTTGTTCAGGGGATAGACTGCTCAAGTCTTACATTAGGAAATATTAATTATCTGTTGCTTCTCTTCACCAATTAGCAAATGCATCTAAAAAATGGATAGTGGAAATTGTCAAACTAGGAATTCTGGCTTAACACTGATGGTTTGATTACAATGTACACAGAGTAGGTTTGCATCCCCCTTCCCAGTCTGATTTTGCTGAAATAGGGAAGACTGGCCTGTTAGGGAAAACCCCCCTCTAGCTACTTTCCTTAAAGTGATATGATTGGTAATATTTTCTTGTTGGCAGGTTGGTGTCCATCTGGCTGGAACACCAACATGAATAGAACTAAGTGCTTCAAGTACATCCGAGATTTAAAGTCATGGGAGGAATCAGAAAGTTGGTGCGAAGGCCATGGAGGAAACTTAGCAGCGCTGGCGTCATATCGAGATCTTGAGTTTGCTCTAGGGTTGTGTGGCCAAAGTACCGATGGCTGTTGGGTTGGTGGAAAAGGAACGAATTCTAGTTTTGGATTTACATGGAAGTGGTCAGATAATACAACCCATTGGAACCGTTCATTATTTGGTGCAGTGATATTCCCTTCACACTGTAGCAATGCATCATGCCACAAAGATCCTGCTATTGATTCATGTACCCTGCTGACGAATGGAAGTACTCCTGTTATGGGAGAGAGATGCGATGCATCTCGTGCTTCTATTTGTATGGTGGACTCTGGTATGTTTTTACTCGACACTTACTGAACTATTCTCAATCACATTTCTCCTGTTATCACCACTAGCATTCTTCACAATGTTTGTTATCTCGTGGTCTTAATAAGCTTACACTCAAAACACCAAATCAATTTTTGAACTCTAGACTCAATGCATCCAAAAACAAATTTTTGATATGCTTCTCTTTTTGTGTTCATCTGTACTGCTTCACAGAGAAGAAATGTTACCACATGCACTGCCACAGGGAGTATCTCATCATTCTTGCAGTTGTCAGTGGACTAATCCTCACTGCCACACTGGCTGTTGTGATTTGGCTCCTTGTATATCGGCGCAGCAAGAAAAGTAGAAAGTCACGCAAAGTTTCTAATCCAGCTGCCTCCGCCTTAGTTCCTCCATCATGGAAAGTCTACACTAAAGAGGAACTTCGGTCTCTAACTAAGAATTTTAGTGAGGGGAATCGTCTTCATGGTGATGCGAAAACTGGTGGAACATATAGTGGCCTTTTGCCGGATGGATCCAAGTTGGCAGTCAAGAGGTTGAAGAGGTCTAGTTTCCAGAGGAAGAAGGAGTTCTATTCTGAAATTGGAAGGGCTGCAAGACTACATCATCCAAACCTGGTGTCAATCAAAGGTTGCTGCTATGACCATGGGGATCGCTTCATTGTTTATGAGTTCATTGTTAATGGCCCTCTGGATAGGTGGTTACACCACATGCCGAGGGGAGGCAGATGCTTGGATTGGAATATGAGGATGAAAATTGCTACAACTCTTGCTCAAGGAATTGCGTAAGTTCGACCATTTGGACTTTATTTCTTGAATACCCAAGCCAATAGGAGAAGTTATAAGCTGAAGTAAATAGTAGCAATTGGAGTCCCTATTTGTGAAACAATTACTTCAAGTAAGTAAATGGTCGTGAAATGATTAGGTGGATTTCTTGACTTTTACAATTGATGTGTCACTAAAATATGCGAGTTAAGTGTGAAATGACTAATATGGTCTCACAACCTTTGTAGTCTTATGGAGAATAAGTGGTAGAATTGGGAGTAGAGAAAACACCATGTCAATTCAAAATTGAATTCTAAAAGTGTGAAGTTAGAAATTGGAGTATTCGATTTAGAAATTTGTCATTTGATCAACTAGAGGTACTAGGCACCACCCGCAGAAATTGCTAGAAGCTTGCTATTAACTTGCACCTATCTAATTGGTTCTTCCGTAGGTTTCCAGGCATTGTCCTTCCATGTTTTATTGACAAATTTAACCTTTGATTCTGCTTTTGTATCAACTAGGTTTTTGCACGACAAGGTGAAGCCACATGTTGTGCATAGAGACATCCGAGCCAGTAGCGTGCTGCTTGACGAGGAGTTTGGTGCCCACCTAATGGGTGTCGGTCTGTCAAAGTTTGTTCCATGGGAAGGAATGCAGGAGAGAACAGTGATGGCTGGTGGCACATATGGATATCTTGCTCCAGAATTTGTCTACCAGAACGAGCTCACAACGAAGAGCGACGTCTACAGTTTTGGGGTGCTACTGCTGGAAATAGTCACAGGGCGTCGACCTGCACAGGCAGTTGATTCGGTGGGTTGGCAAAGCATATTTGAGTGGGCCACACCTTTAGTACAAGCAAACCACTACCCTGAGCTCCTGGATCCCCATGTGTTTCTATCTTCTTCTTCGGAGGTTCCAGAAGCCGGTACCATTCAGAAGGTTGTAGACCTCGTGTATGCTTGTACGCAACATGTACCATCCATGCGGCCTAGAATGTCTCACGTTGTTCACCAGCTACAGCAGTTAGGCCATCAATCCTCTGTTTAAATGTAAGTTTCAGTTGTGCCGCAGAGCTTGGACTTATAACAACGGTAGACAGACCTGTCCCATTTTGGGTCGAGGAGTAAGTGCATCTACATCCTACTCTAAACTAGTTGTTGACTTGTATCTTATTAGGAACCTCGAACTAGGCTGCCAAGTTCCGGCTGCCAATACATGGTCAGAGTTTTAGCATCCACTGAGATGGAATGAATGGGTTGCAGCCTTTTAACTTCCCATTTATCAGTTACTCAGTAGTCTGGTCTTTAGGTGTTTACAATGTTGGTCAAAATGTTGAAGAAAGGAGTTGGCTCGACCTTGGTTATAATGTGGTACCAATCACTGGCTTATAGTTGCATTGAAATGACAAACTGACAAGTAGCGGTTTGAAACCAGAGTTACTCTACAATTTCTTTCCTTGTTACTCTGTACACAAGTTTCTTGTTTACAAATTACATGAGTTTCGAGAAGTGCGAGCATGGCCACCCCAGCATCCCAGTCTCCCAGACATCATCCAAGGCAACCTCCTATGCCTTCTCACTCTCTCCCTATAATCTCTTTGCTTTTCTAAGTTTGCCTGTGATAGTGATCGTGGAGGTAAATAAGTCGAACCATTTTGGTGAATTTTGTTCACAGCCAGCGGCGGATACATGCATGTAAAATTTGGAAAGAAAAAAAATGTTTTAGTGATAGTGGGACATCCTTAAAATTCGGGAATATAATGATCATATTGGTCATTAACAAGATACCATGACCTATTCTCCGTGATATGGTATGAATGATATATACATCTGTTTCCTGCTGTATTTGTTTGAACTCTCTCTGTCACTCTGTTTTCTATCCAATCGAATACGGCGAACATTAAAAGAAGAAAGACGCGGACAACGTTTACTTTTACTAAAGAATTCATTTCTGTCGATTCCGCCCCTACCTGCTCGATCGCTGAATGGCGAATGCAGTATGTTTCTATATTTTCCTCCATGGTCAACTTGGAGCAATAAAGTACAACATCAGCAGAAATGCAGAATGAGTAACCCAATTCCATCACTCCTTCCAAGTAAACAAATCCAAATCAAGAATGGTAGGCAGGTCATATCTGGAAATTCGCACCGTTGAAAACTCATAACGTACCACCATGGTTTGTCCCAAATCCCAGACTTAACAGCATGAGAAGACGATGACTGAGTGAGAAGGACAAAGAACAATGGCAGCCACAGAAACAGCTTTCTGGGTTCTCTGTATATTCTCTCTCTTATGGGGATTCATGATCCAGAAGGTGTCTAGTGACTCAGGAATCAATTTGCTGAGCATCGGCTGTAGCCAGTATAAAGTTGGCACCTTCCCCTTGTTTGCTGCCAACCGCAATTCCAGCTTCTCTCAGCTCAGAGATCAGCTCAAGAATGGCGGGAAGAAGCATTTCGCAACAGCCCAGCAGCCTGCTGGTCAAGAGCCAGTCTACACCATGGTTCAGTGCCGGAATTACTTATTCTCAGCTGATTGCCTTGCCTGCTTCAATGATGCTGTTACCAGAATCCTCAATTGCTCTGCTGCTAATGGTGCCCGCGTCATCCTTGACGGTTGCTTCCTAAGGTGAGTACAATATTCCCAATTCAAAAACACAAGTACATAGTTGAGTAATCAGATTCCGAAAATTAGAGCTCCAGAGAGGCAAAATTCTCCACTTTTGCTGTTACCCAACTCAAATTGATGCTTAATTTTCTTTGTAGGAATCGGGTATATTTTCTTTTATTCTGGGTTATTGAATTCTATCTCTGGGGCTTTGTTAAGGTACGAGAGCAACAGCTTCTATGACCAGAGCACTCAGGATGGGCACAGCGGGGTATGCGGGAACCAGACCACAGAGAAAAAGGATAACAATGCTTACACTGAAGGTGTGGAACATCTGCTGTCAGATCTTATAACCACCACGCCGAAGATCAATGGCTTCTATGCAGCAAGCAAGAGAGAACTGGTGCCTGGTGGTGGTGGTGGTGGTGGTGGAGATGGGAATGTGACGGTATATGGTGTTGCACAATGCGTTGAAACCATCAGCCAGAAGGGTTGCCAAGATTGCTTGAAACTGGGATTCACTGATCTCCAGAGATGTTTTTCAAACACTGCTGCCAGGTCCATCAACGTGGGGTGTTTTCTTAGGTTCTCCAACTCCCCTTTCTTCCTGGATAATCAAACTACTGATCTTTTGCCCTTCTTACGAAATGGTGGGTGGACTTTACTCTCCTTTCCTACTGATTGTCGGCTGTTTCAGACAGGAATATGAAAGCCTTTTTGTTTCGTAAAATGGTTAGCAGGAGGTTCGAGCAAGAAGATTATAATTGCCGGAGTGGTCGGAGGGCTAGGAGGTGGTATCCTATTACTTGCAGCTGCCATAGTTCTGTGGTATAAGCTGTCTAGGAGACAGAAGGCCTTGCCGAAAGGTGACATATTGGGAGCAACTGAATTGCAAGGTCCAGTTAGTTACGGTTACAAGGACCTGAAATTAGCAACTAAGAACTTCAATGAGGAGCATAAGCTGGGAGAAGGAGGATTTGGTGAAGTTTTCAAGGTCAGGAATTTGCTTTTGCGTGACTTGACACTGATTTTATTAAGCAGCAGTTAAGCTGCCAACCTGGAGAAGCTTTTAAGTTTCTTTTTCTTTCATGTAAACATTGTTGATTACTTAACTAGGGGGTTTTGAAGAATGGCAAAGTGGTGGCAGTCAAGAAACTTGCTCTCGGCCAAAGTCGCAGAGCAAAGGAGGAATTTCAAAGTGAAGTGAAGATCATAAGCAATGTTCATCATAGGAATCTAGTCCGCCTTCTCGGCTGCTGCAGCAGTGGACCGGAGCCTCTCCTTGTGTATGAGTACATGGCTAACAGCAGTCTCGACAAATTCTTATTTGGTACGGAGTTACTCATGTATAGGCGCATCAGAGTATCGGTTTATTTGGGTAGAGAAGTAATAGGTTTGATTTCATTGTGGCAGGTGATAAAAAAGGTAGTCTCAGCTGGAAGCAAAGGATTGACATAATACTGGGTACAGCGAGGGGTCTGGCATATTTACATGAAGATTTCCATCTGTGCATTATACACAGAGACATCAAGACCAGCAATATTCTTCTGGATGATGATTTTCAACCCAAGATTGCAGATTTCGGGCTGGCAAGGCTTCTACCAGAGAGTCAGACTCATCTTGACACCAAATTTGCTGGGACATTGTAAGTTGGAGGACCTGTTCCTTTTCATTATTGAAGAATTTTCGGTCTTGCAATATGTCAACAATTTTGATTCATCTGTTTTTTTGCAGGGGATACACATCACCTGAATATGCATTGTATGGCCAGTTATCAGAGAAGGCTGACACTTACAGCTATGGTGTTGTAGTTCTTGAAATAATCAGTGGCCAAAAGAGCAGTGAAGTAAGGCAAGATCTAATAGCTGAGTATCTGCTGAAGAAGGTACTTAAGTCCCCTTTGAGCAGTGAATTCAGGCTTGATACTTACACCATCCATCTTTCGTTTTTTTAACTAGTAATGGTCCGACAATTGAAACAGGCATGGAAACTGTACGAAAGTGGAATGCATTCAGAACTGGTAGATGCAACCATATGTCAGGATGAATACACGGAAGAAGAAGCAAAGAAAGTGGTGGAAATAGCTCTGATGTGCACGCAACCATCACCTTTGATGAGACCAACAATGTCGGAAGTAGTAGTGTTACTGAAAAGCGAGGGATCAGTACAACTGCGTCAGCCCCTAGCAAGGCCTGCGCTAATTGAATCCAATCCCCAATTCCTCCCGGAAACGTCCGGCTCAACAGGTTCCCCCTCATCAAATGCCACTGCCTCCATCTCCAGACTCTCCGGCAGGTAGGGGTTCAGAATGCCGCCAATGATTCCATCATATCACAACCACGTCATATACCACACATTGTTGCATTCAAGAACCCAGAAGACAATAATGACAGACTGTATATAAAAGCAACAGACTGTAGTAGAACGTCTCAAGCTCCATACAAGTGATAAAGCTTACAGGTTTGGCTCTGAATTACTGCAGAAGGAAACAAAGGAACAGATGAAACCCTGTTACTAGAAAGAAGCATCATCATGGCTTCCTATGATAAATTTGATTATTTACACAGAAGATGCAACATGCCAGCAAACCCTCCAAGCCTCCTCTGTGAATCTCTCTATGCCGTCGAAAAAAGATCTCTCTATGCATATACTTGAGCAACAAGCCAACGATAGACAAGGAAATACCATTGAAACCTGAACAGCTAATGACTACTGTCATACAAAAACAAGAAACTCAGCATTTCTCTATTCATTCCATTCAATTAATATCACAAAGTTGGAAGCTTAACACCTTCAGCTATACAGTTAGTAAAGGATCTCGAGACTTATCCACAACCCCAAGCCAATTCATCAAGAACTGGTTGTAAATTAATGTAGCAACAAAAGCAAGATTGAAAGAGAAGAAAATTTCATGATTGTAAACTGACGGCATTAGCAGACACAATTCTTCAATTAATGTGGTTGGATGGGGATGAGATACGGTGACAACCCCCTTGGGGGTTGTCAGATTCACAACCCACTCACTAACCGTTGGATACACTCTCTCTCCTGTCTCTTTTTTTTTTTTAAGTTGATGGTTAGGATTAAAAGAAGGGTATTTTTGGAAAAGAAAAATGTTAACACACCCAATCATTCTCCCTCCCATATAAATAAAAACCCTAACTCCTTCCTCTCCCCTTCACCTCTCTCTTTCCCTCCTCCCTCTCTCCAGACAGCACTGCCGCCAGCCTCCACCACCGCTGCCGCCTCTCTCCACCCACCATCTCTCCTCCCCCTCTCTCCGCCGCCATGGATGAGATCTCATCCCCATCACAGCAGCTGCAGCAGCTTCCCATAAACACCACCACGAAGACAATCAAGGAGAAGTAGCTGTCCCCCCCCCCCGCGCCGCGCCGCGCCGCTGTCCTCCCCTGCCGCCACCATTTTTATGTCGCCGCCACCGCGAGGTCAAGACTCATCCCTTTTTTTCCAGATCTGATAGTCTCTACCGGTACCAATACCACTGGTAGCACTATTGGTACCAATACCACTGGTAGCGCTATTGGTACGCTACCACTACTCACTGGTACCAATACCAGTGGCTCCCCTATCATCATGCACCACTATCATCTGTTTTTTTTGTGTGTTATTTGCTACTGGTACCGCTACCAATGCTAGTGGTAGCGCTACCAGTGCTAGTAGCGTTGTGTTATTCTCTACTGGTAGCGTTGTACTGGTAGCGTACCACTAGTACTGGTACATTTTTTACTGGTACCGCTAGTACTGGTACATTTTTTAACTTACTGGTACCGTACCACTAGCACTAGTATATTAATTACCAGTAGACTAATAGATTGGTACACTTTTTAACGCATTGGTACATTTTTTCAGGTTGTCGGAGGGAGTCTGCCGGAGAGAATTCGCCGGAGAAAAAGTTTGTCGGTCGATGCGGAGTGGCTGCTGGAGAAAGGAAGAGAGTGAGATAGATAGAGATATTAATTCCCAATATAATTCCCAATACATTGGTTGTCAGATTCACAACCAATGTATAGGATTTAAATTTCAGAAAAAAAATTGTATTTAATATGGGTTTTTAATTCCCAATATAATTAATACAAAAAAGGTAATTAATATATTCCTTTTTTTCATACCCAAAATACCCTTGGTTGTGAATCTGACAACCCCCAAAGGGGTTGTCACCGTATCCCGTCCCGGTTGGATGCACAACAATATCAGGCTCACTAGCAACTTGCTTGTTCTGGGGGCACCCATCATTGACCAAGGCGGAATCAGTATTCAGTACCAACAATCATCTTGGTCAGTTGAAGATGCAGCTGAGGAGCCTTTTGGAGGTCCAGAAGCTGTTGGGTAATGGGTAGGCCTGTCAATTTGGTTTGGTTTGGATAACCAAACCATTAAGTATGAAAAACCAAAAATCAAAAACCAAATCCCAAAAACCAAAATCAAAACCATTAAGGCCCTTATTGGTTTTTGGCAAAGGTTTTTTGGTTATCCAAACCAAAACCAAGAGCATGAATGCCCTTATTGGTTTTGGTTTTGGTTTGGATAACCAAAAAACCAACATGTACTCATACACTCATATTTATTCCTATTTCCCTCCTTTTTATTGAATAAACGTCATAATAATGTTAAATGGCCATAACAAATTATTTGTTGGCATGCGTGTCAAAAGAAACAAAAAAAAAAATTTGTTGATAAATAATTTTATTCTTATTGGTTTCTTAATGGTTTCTATTGGTTTTTCGGTTTTAACCAAACCAAAACCATTAAGTTGCTTATTGGTTTAAAACCAAAAAACTGAAACCATTAACTTTCCAATTGGTTTGGTTTCGGTTAAAACCAAATGGACAGCCCTAGTAATGGGTATTCTCCAAAACTACGTTTCCCAGATTTGGCAACCTCCACAAAAGGTACAGAAGCTGTAGTTACCTGGACAAGGCCACCAGAGAGCTGGATCAAAATCAATGTCGATGCGGCGTCTTTCGCTGGCAGTGGGAGTAGATTTGGAGCGGTGGCTCGAGATGCGTCGGGTTGCTTCCTTGAAGCTTCACTCAGACGAGAGTGAATCTAATGGCCAGCAGAAATGGCGGAGCTCCGTGCTATTGAACTAGGCTTGCGGTTGATGGAAAAATTGGGGGAAGAGCTAGGCAATAATCGAATCGGACTGCCAAACGACCATCTTCAAGCTGATGGGGGAGGAAATGACTCGACTTGAAGCAAGAGCGGTAGTAGAGGAACTGATAGAAGAAGCTGTGAGGTGGCAGTTTGCCAAACGGGCCTGTAATAGGCAGTAGGGCTGGGAATCTAGACCAAACCGTATAAAAAACCGCGGTTGAGACCGTACCGTACGTTTTGGTCCGGACCGTGAGACCATAAATACAATTTGGTTTTGTTCATGGTCTGCTCCTTCAGTTGCGGTCTGGAACGGTCTAGACCACGGTTAACTGTCTAGACCGTATCCTCCAAGACCAATGCGACAGGTCCCATACCCCATATGCCCACCCCACCCCACCCCAACTTCTTCTCGTCTCTCAAGTCTCTCACACATTTCACCCAGCCTCCCCAAATTGAAAAAGAAAAACCCTAGCTCCCCGTATTGCTGGAAGGAGACCAACCAAAATCGCGTTTTCTCTCCCTCCAGTCAATCACACGCAACGATTCCATTCAGTTACTCTTCCTCTTTCTTCTCGCTCGTCCTCCCGGACCAAAATCACGAACGGTTGACGGCTCTCCTTCTTTCAAGAAGTCTTCTCCAACCGTTAATTCGTCAATTGCAACAAGCTGCCTCTCTACGATGACCAATAGACTTCTCTCGATGGTAATACACAAATACTCTAATAGCAATCCTTGCCCTGGTTTGTTAATACTTAATCGCTTTCCACGGGGACAATCCTACTTGAATGCTTGTATATTTCTGTCGATTGCATATGTTGAGAAACCGGGCAGCAACCACAAGCAATAATAGAATGCACAAGACATACGATTTTTACGTGGAAAACCCAAATTGGGAAAAACCACGGGATCTTTGTCCAAGCCACAACTCCACTAGACTTTGGTGGGATTACAAGTCCTCTCTAGAATAGCTAGAGGATTACAAACACCTCAAGGACATCCTTCTTGGATCAACAATCAACCACAATAGCTCTCACCAACATGGTGGATAACAAGAGCAAGACAAAGAGAGGTTTAGAGATACCAAAAAACAGATTCGTACACCTTCTGTCCAGCAGCTATTCCCGAAAAACTAGAGCTCCAAACAACAATCCCTCCAATCAGATTGAAGCCCAGATAATTGCGAACCCACTGTCCAAATTTCAGGACGATCCAACGGTTCAATCTTCAAGAACGCTCACTTGAACAAGCTGCCCTGCTGCAGAAACGAAAAACTGCAGCTCTTTCTCTCTTCTCTCTTTTTCCTTATCTCTTCTCTTCTCTGATTCTCTCTCTCTTAAAAATGAAAGGCTGTCACCTCTTTTTACTTTTGAGTATACAATAACTCTCTATTTTGAAAATAGAGGATCTTCTAGAAACCAACCAAAATTCAAACTCAAACCGGTTAATCCAACCACCATATGAGTTGGACCAACCCAACAAATCTCCCCATCCAGCTCATATGGGGGGTAGCACCAAACCTGCTTCATCTCGACAGAAGATATGTTTTCCACTTGGTGGAGACTTAGTCATCATGTCCGAACCATTGTCATCCGTATGCACTTTGTTGAGCTCCATCAACTTCTCTTCCAAAACATCACGAATCCAATGATATCAAACATCTATGTGTTTCGACCTTGAGTGGAAAGTTGGATTCTTGCAAAGATGAATTGCACTTTGACTATCACAATAGAGCACATACCTCTCTTGCTTAATGCCCAACTCTTGAAGAAACTTCTTCAACCATAACATCTCTTTGCAAGCTTCTGTCACGGCTATGTATTCGGCTTCTGTTGTTGATAATGCAACACATTTTTGCAGTTTAGATTGCCATGAAACTGCAGCACCTGCAAAAGTCATCATGTATCCAGAAGTCGACTTTCTAGAGTCCACATCACCTGCCATGTTAGCATCGGGTTTAGGGTTTAGGGTTTAGGGTTCATGGTCTTGTCATTACCAAAGCATAGACACACTCTAGAAGTACCTCTCAAGTAGCGAAGAATCCACTTCACTGCTCTCCAATGTTCTTTCCCCGGATTGGAAAGAAACCGACTAACAACCCCAACGGCATGAGCAATATCCGGCCTTGTGCAAACCATGGCATACATCAAGCTTCCAACAACTGATGCATAAGGCACATTCTGCATTGCTTCTTTCTCTTCATCACTTGTAGGACAATGCTTCACACTCAACTTTAAATGTCCTCCAAGTGGAGTACTAACCGCCTTAGCCTTTCTCATGTTAAACCGCTCAAGAACTCTTTCAATATACCTTTCTTGAGATAGCCAAAATTTTCCATTCCTTCGATCCCTAGAGATTCTCATCCCTAGAATTTGTTTCGCCGATCCTAAGTCCTTCATGGCAAAGGATTTACTCAACTCCTTTTTCAATCTATCAATCTCTCCAACATTCCGACCCACGATCAACATGTCATCCACGTAAAGCAAGAGAATGATGAAATCATTTTCAGCAAAGTATTTCACAAACACACAATGATCGGAGGTAGTTCTTGCATACCCGTTTTTGACCATGAATGAGTCAAATTTCTTGTACCATTGCCTTGGTGCTTGCTTCAACCCATATAAGCTCTTTCTCAATCTGCATACAAGATCTTCTCTGCCTTTAACCTCGAACCCTTCCGGTTGATCCATGTAGATTTATTCCTCTAAGTCACCATGAAGAAACGCCGTCTTCACATCGAGTTGTTCAACTTCCAAGTCCAAACTTGCATCCAACCCAAGCACAACTCGGATAGAGGACATCTTCACAACGGGAGAGAAAATTTCTTTAAAGTCAACACCTTTCTTTTGGTTGAAACCCTTCACAACTAGTCGCGCCCTAAACCAAGGCTTTGAACTAGTTTCCCCCGTCTTTAACTTGTAGACCCACTTGTTCTTAAGTGATCTTTTTCCTTTGGGTAGTTTCACCAAATCATAGGTGTGATTCTCTTGCAAAGACTTCATCTCTTCTTGCATTGCTTTGTTCCACTCCTCCTTGTCTTCATGAGACATGGCTTCTTGATAATATTTGGGTTCTCCCCCGTCAGTCAACAATAGGTACTCATGAGGGGAGTACCAAGTGGAAGCTTTGCGATCTCTTGTTGACTTTCTTGGTTTGGATAGAGGTTGCTCTTCTTCAACTTGTTCTTCTTGCTCCAATTGCTCTTCTCCTTGCACTTCTTGATCTAGTGCACCTTGGGGCTCATCATGCACTACTTCCTCAACATTTTCATGCATTTGGGATGGAGATATAGGCTCCAAATTAACCGGACCAGCTTCTGTATTTTTCTTCTTTTCAACCCTTTCGACGTCTTCACTTGTCTCATTTTCAAGAAAAATCACATCCCGGCTCCGAACAATTTTCCTTGCAATTGGATCCCATAATCTGTACCCAAACTCTTCATGCCCATAGCCCATGAATATACATGGCTTTGCTTTGTCATCAAGCTTTGCTCTCTCATCTTTTGGAACATGAACATAGGCTTTGCAACCAAACACTCGCAAGTGTTCATATGAGACTTCCTTTCCCGTCCATACTCGTTGAGGCACATCACCCTCCAATGGGACCGATGGTAAGAGATTGATTAGATCAACCGCTGTCCGCATTGTTTCTCCCCAAAATGATTTAGGTAGCTTGGCATGTGAGAGCATACACTTGATTCTCTCACAAATTGTTCTATTCATCCTCTCAGCGACACCGTTTTGTTGTGGAGTCTTGGGTACACTTTTCTGCAGTTTAATTCCGTGCAATCTGCAGTAGCTTTCGAATGGACCTCTATACTCTCCCCCGTTATCAGCCCTTACACACTTCAACTTCAGGTCGGTTTCCCTTTCCACTTCAGCATGAAATTGCTTGAAAACATCTAGCACTTGATCCTTCATTTTCAAAGCATATGTCCACACCTTCCTTGAGTGATCATCGATGAAGGTAACATAATAGCTTGCACCACCAAGAGTTTTATCTCGCATAAAACAAACATCAGTGTGAATTAGATCAAGTACCTTACTCCTTCTAGAAGGTGGAAATCTATGAAATGCAACTCTATGAGTTTTTCCGGCTAACCAATGAACACAAGTTTTAAGAAGAGTACCTTTAGCTCCGGGCAAGAGTTGTTTCTCGGACAATATTTGCAGCCCCTTCTCGCTCAAATGACCGAGTCTCTTATGCCAAAGCTCAATGGAAGAATCTTTCTCAGCAACATTGATTCCTCCCTTGCTATGCTTTGCATTCGTCATGTAGAGCGTACTTTCCTTCTTGCCTTTAGCCATCACAAGAGAACCTCTTGACAGCTTCCATTTTCCTTCTCCAAAATAGTTGGTATAACCATCATCATCAAGCTTTCCCGTGGATATCAAATTCAACCTCATGTCAGATCCTTCAAGACTAGCTTGCAACCCGTGTTGGTCTCTAGATGAATATCACCCATGCCAACAATCTTTGATGCGCCATCATTTTCCATCCTCACACAACCATAGTTACCGTTTGTGTAGGAAGAGAAAAAATCAACCCGTGAGGTCACATGGAATGAGGCACCTGAGTCAACAACCCATATACTCTCTTGACAAGCAAGGTTAACAAAACCGGCATCACAAACAATGACCACATCACCATCTGTGGCAGCAGCAGTAGTTTCATCTTTTTCTCGGTTTTCCACACATTTTCCTCTAACTTGTTCTCGTTTCAAGATTCTGCACTCTCTCCTCGTATGTCCGGGCTGGTTGCAATGATAACATGTGATTTCTCCTCTTGGTCTTGACACTGATTTTGATCTCCATCGGCTGTTACTTCGATTTTGAGAGTTCTTGAAGTTGGAATTTCGATTTTTGCAATCCCCAACTCTTTTCTCCTTGCCTCTTCATTCAACATGCTATCCTTGACAATGTCCATCGTCAACTTGCCATTAGGTGCTGAGTTGCTAACTGAGACCACCAAAGTCTCCCAACTATCCGGCAAAGAACTGAGAAGTAACAATGCTTGCACTTCATCATCAAGTGCTAACTTCATAGTAGTTAGCTGGTTCACAAGCCCTTGAAAGTCACTCAAATGCTCCGAGACACTATGTCCATCCTTGTACTTCAAGTTCACAATTCTTCGAATGAGTGAGGCTTTATTTTGAGCCGATTGCCTCTCATACATGGACTCCAATTTCTGCCACAATTCATCTGCTCTTGTATCTTTTGCAACATGATGAAAGATGCTTTGGTCAATCCATTGTCGAATGATTGCCACCGCCTTTCTATGCAAGACCTCCCATTGCTTCTTGGTCTTGTCTTCCGGCTTCTCGCTGCCATTCAATTGGCTCATAGAGATCCTTGCAAAACAGAATATCCTCCATCCGTGGCTTCCAAATAGAGTAGTTGGATGATGTCAACTTAATCATTGCTCCACTAGACTTTGGTGGGATTACAAGTTCTCTCTAAACTAGCTATAGGATTAAAAAAACCTCAAGGACATCCTTCTTGGATAAAAAATCAACCACAATAGCTCTCACCAACATGGTGGATAACAAGAACAAGAGCAAGGCAAAGAGAGGTTTAGAGATACCAAAAAACAGATTCGTACACCTTCTGTCCAGCAGCTCTTACCGACAAACTAGAGATCTAAACGACGATCCCTCCGGTCAGATTGAAAGCCAGATAATTTCAAACCGACTGTTCCAATTTCAGAACGATCCAACGGTTCAATCTTCCAGAACGCTCACTTGAACAGACTGCCCTGCTGCAGAAACGAAAAACTGCAGCTCTTTCTCTCTTCTCTCTTTTTCCTTATCTCTTCTCTTTTCTGATTCTCTCTCTTAAAAATAAAGGCTGTCACCTCTTTTTACTTTTGAGTAGATAATAACTCTCTATTTTGAAAATAGAGGATCTTCTAGAAACTAACCAAAACTCAAACTCAAACCGGTTAATCCAACCACCATATGAGTTAGACCAACCCAACAAACACACCTGGTAAGGGCCGGGAGTTCCCGCACAAAATACCAAAGTAACTTGTAAGCTTAAAGTTTCTTGCTAGTTATCACCGAGGATTTTTGTATTTATTAATTCATAATGAAGACCATCATTGTTGGTCGATTCTGTTATAATAAAAGTATCCAAATTACTCTAACCAATTCATGTTTTAAATGTTGTAATTAAAGTTTCAGGAGCAACAACCAGCAATTGTAATGTTAACTTTTGAACTTTGTGGTTAATGATGAGATGTGAATGTGTTTTTTTGGGTTATAGGTATAATATGCCCCTTTACTATGACGCTTTATCAAACATACCCATCTACTATTTTTTACATCAAACATGCCCATGTACTTTGTAAAAATGATCAAACATACCTATAACCTTTTTTTTTTGTTAAAAGGCTATTATTTAGTATTGGACACTACATGTTTCGTTAAGCATGGTCAGTCTGGTCCAGACCGTACCGCACCGCATAGGTGTGGTCTGGTCCGGACCGTATAATATATGGTCTGGTCCGGACCGTATAATATATGGTCGGGTCCATGGTCTCTGTTCTAGCTTCTCGGTCTGGACCGCAAACCGTCTATATGGTCTGGTCTGGACCAGACCGCACAGTTTCCCAGCCCTAATAGGCAGCCCACATAAATTGTAATTGGGACTCTTAGAAAGAATGGGTTGGTAGACCGCCCATTTTCCTTCTTGGTGATTTGGATTCTGATGCTCTAGCCCAGGGTAAAATACTTAGGGTATCACTAAAGTTTGAGAATTGGGGCAGACATACCACTTAAGTTTGAATAGGGCGTCGGGTACCATTAAAGTCACCAAAATGTGCATCTGTGTAGTTTGCCATCCAACCCAAAAATTTAATTACTTTTTGGTACCCAAAAATTTTAAAAATCATCCAAAACTATATTTCAACAAGTTTTTATCTAATATAGAAATTAAAAAACCTTCTAAACTTAATATTACTAAAATGACTAATCAAAATTGTCAATAAAATTGATAAGTTAGTAAAAATAATAAATATATATCAAGAAGAAAATAAATATATAGAATATAATAATAAATATTTAAAATCAATATTAGAAGATCTATTTAAATCGGTAATCAGATAAGAAGTACCATTAAAAATAGTTAAAATAGAATCTAATCGATCATCAATACATCAAGACAAAAGAAGGATAAATGAAACATAGTCAGAAAGAATTAAACATATTACGGTAATTGAATAAATTTAGAACGAAAATAGAACAAAAGTAACCAAGAAAATTATACAACATCCATATGGTGTACGAGAATTAAATATAACATTCTCAGATTATTTATATCGATATAGAATTCATAGGATATATTTACTTAAGCAAATTATTCAATTATTATAACACAAAATGGTAATTTAAAGTATTTATAATGCTAATTGATTCTACATTTCCTATTCAAAAATTGGTTTGGTATCAAAATCTTAAAAAAAAAAAAGAATAATTCAATTATTAGAAAACATAATGATAATTGATTTTAAATTTTCTATTAAAAAATGAATTTGGTATCAAGTTTTCAATAGGGGATACCAATTAAATAATAAAAATTGATGTTTTTCATAAGTCAAAATAATTTTTTACAATAAGAAAAGTAGAAGGACCAATTATGAAATTTAGAAAACAGAATATTCCAAGAATATTCTGTTAACTTTAACGGAATGCACTTAACATTAAACTTAAGTGGTACCGGGTGCACAAATAATAGAGTTTAGTGGTACCCGACGTCCTATTCAAACTTAAGTGGTATGTCTGTCCCAATTCCGAAACTTAAGTGGTACCCGCGGTATTTTACCCCTCTAGCCCATTATTAAAAGTTACTGATAAGAAGTCATTGCATTTCCTTCTGCCACTAGTTTGCAGTTCTTGCCGCTTCGTTTCTCGTGAAGGGAAAGAGAATTTATTTTTTTACAAAGGAATTACTTTGTATTACATGTTGCATGATATATTAGAAACCATCACAGAAAATCAAAATTAGATCAAGGTCAGACAAAGTCAAACAAACGGTTAATCAATCCATGCTTCCGAAGTACAATAAGTACATCACAAAACACAAGAAGAGTCAATCCATCCATGGATATGAAATACTTGAACAAAAAACAGAAAACAACAAAAGCTCTCTTGCAATCAACCAATCGAAATATCACCAAGCTCCATCAGTTCATCCGATCGACTAAGACTATGCAGATTGAATACAATGCCATAAGTCACCTTCTGTGAGTTGCTCGAAGACGCTCAACTCAGAGAATCTCAGGTGTGGATTACATGGCAGTGGTTAGAATTGAGGATCGAATTGCTCTGAGCTGAAAAGGCTGGGGGAGCTTAGGCGCTAAGTCTTGGTCAAGGCTAGCAGAAGAACCCAAACCTCAAGAGCGAAGAGTTGTTTCTGCGGCCAACCGGATCAGACACTGCCATCCATCCATCGGTGTTGATCAAGAGGTAGGACATACCACCCAACGAGAACGGAAGGGGAAACTAGTGAATCGATTCATCTAGGGCTGGGAAAAGGTGCGGTCTAGACCGATATGTTAGAACACAGACCATGGACCATACCATATACTATAAGGTCCAGAACTTATCAAGCCTGTACGGTGCGGTCTGGTACGATCTAGACCAAGCAGAACATGTTCAACAAAACTTTACTCTTCTTCAACCCTCTAATCCTCCTCGATATCAATAAAAAGTTTAGTGCCCAATATATTAGTGAAACAAAAATTTAGTGAACGTAATCAACCTACAAAGAAATATGAGGGGAGAAGTTTACTTTCTCAATCTCTTACTTCCCCTCCGGTAACCACTTAAAATGAAATACACAACAAATAACTTTGTCTCCCTCTTCTTCTTTGTGTTATCGCTTCTCTCCCTCTCTCGGGTGGTCTGAAAAGTTCTCACATTCATTCCCCACTACGACGACATTGAGAAATGGAAATTTATTGTTATTTTGATTTGGAGTAGTGGGTAGTGGATCCCGATCTGTCATGGTTAAATGTTGGTTTTTCACTATCCAGACCGTACACTAAAGGGGAAAACCCCAAACCAAATCAGACCATGTTCTTGTCTCACGGTCCGGACCAAACCGAACGATATGGTCTAGATCGTGATTTTTCCATACAGTTTGGTATGGATTCCCTACCATAGATTCATCCGCGTGCTAATAAATTCGCCATCTTAAGAGGAGACCCAAGATGCATAACCCAACCCACAAGAAAAGCAAACCCATAAAAACAAACTCTACAACAGGGAAGGAAA